ACCTCCAGACAGTTTACGAAACTACCGGTGGTTTCGTACAAAAAAGACCAAACCTTTTTGAGGACAACGAAACCAACAGCGGTTCCGGGAACGTATTACGAAACCATCTTTCATTTCACGAAACTATGAGAGGATTGGTACTTGATGTACGAAACCACAAGACAATTTACCGAACTTACGAAGAGTTTCGTTGTAGAATTGCCAAACCCTGTGGAACCTACTGAACTTAAAAAGGTTCTGTGTCAAAAACACGAAACGGTTTACATTTCACAGAACTTAAAATCGTTCGGTGCAAAGATGCGGAACTTTTAAGGTTCCGTGGAACATCTTTATTTTTTAGAGTGTGCTATCACCACAGATTCAGACTATGTCGATGTACATTCTGTGGAATCTTCTGTTGTGTCCCGCAAGTCAAGTTCTAAAGGGTGGTCTTCTATTGAGGTCAAATTTTGTCGCCTGCTAGGAGTCCAACGGTAACCTCCCGTACTTAAAGTCCGTCCCCTATAGAAGTACGTTTTGGCGAAATTTTTTCACCTGGATGTGCACTATACCGTATGGCACAGTTTTTTGGCAGTGAGTTTTGAGGTACTTTATGACCGAACTTTGTTCCCCTTTTAAACTTGCCTGAAACCCTGAACTATTGAAAACGTGTAGTTTTTGTGTCTGCGACCGAATGGAAGCATTTTGTACAAAATTAAATTTTTTATCGAATGGTGTTATTTTTTATTTTTTTAAAAAGTTCTAGGTCCAAAAGTTGGAATTAAACTTTTTAAAAACCTTAAATTTAAATTTTTATTTTTGAAAAGATCATAGGCGTAATCAGCCCCTAAACTGGGTCTAGTGATGTACTCATCGCGGTTCATGGATGAAAATGTTTTTTAAAAATCTTGATCAACGAAGTGATGTCGCGTTGCGGGACCAAGCCGTAGTGTAAAATGTTTCTGTGCTTTACCGGACATCATAGATGATTGATCTACTTTTCTTTATCTTGAAACTTTTTTAAACAATAGATTAATAAATCGAACGCAAATAGATTTGAATCGTTTAAATGTTTTCCACTTTCTTCAATACATAGTTTGATTGTTTCAAGAAATGCTGTGTCTAATAACACTAACTTCGTTGCATCCATTTGTTTTGTGTTACGAGTATAATCTATTATTGTATGAAGCAGCATCGAAATTTTAAGAAAAAGTATTTGCTCATTTTCAGTTAGTATTTCATCTAAATCATTCCATTTGTTTAACAAATCGATAAGAGTAACCCGTAACAGAACAAACAGCTTGTAGTTGGTTAAAAGAAGTGCACCGCTTAAATCTTCTTTTATGTTGTCAAGTAATATATCAACTATATCACACAAACTTTTATAAAATAAACGTATGTGTGTTGTTTTGATTCGATATAATCCTTTCATAAAATTATCGAAAAGTTCTTGGTACCTTTTGTTCTCAATTATGCTTTCTCCATTCTGTCGAGCCATACTACATGCAATTGTCATAAAATGTGCTTCACTAGACGGGTCTGCCTGTGTCTAAATTACAAGTACAAAACCAAATGTTCTGGTATAACTTGCCCCTTTTTTCTCTCTGATTTGCTGAATTCTCATTGAATCGAATCAAAGTTCCATAAAAGTCAAAAAGTTCTTGAAAAATCCTGTATACTCATAGATTTAAACTATGTTTTAGTAATACATCGCGCGTGCCACAAACAATGTGTCGCAAATCGCATCCTGTGTTTCAAACCATAGTGTGGCTAAAAGTGTCGAATTTTACGACACATGCAACACTTTACTTTTTAGTATCTTGTTCCGAAAAATCTCTCTCATATGTTTAGAATAGAAAAATGGATACGGACCTGGAATGGACGCTGTATGTCGTTATAAGAAAAATGGTCCATTTCTTCCGAAGACTGTACCAACCATGAGCTGAATAGATCTGCTACGTATGTGATTTCTACTAGCATTAGTCATTCCAAAATAAAAGTCGACCGTAATGTCCTCTTCAAAATGGGAGTCCAACGAAATCTTGATTTTCAGTGGTTTTCGAACGCTCATACCTCACTGAAAATACATTTAAATGGTCCCAAAACTTTATGCTATAGTTAATTTTCCCCGTTAAACGTGAGTATGGTAACCAAACTTTGAAAAACGATATTCTGTCTAACAATATTCTAGAAACCCATTCAGAAAACGGTTAAATTCTGATAAATATGTTCGTAGGTTGATAATCCATTATAGAATAGCACAAATGCTGTACATTATATTGTAATTAAAAACTCTACATTCGTAAGTTTTGAGGCCATCTGAATGTGTTTTCAGTGAGGTATGAATGTTCCTGAAAAAAAATCTGGAAATCCCAATTTTCACGCATCTCAGTTTTAAAGAAATTTTGGTGCTGTTGTTTGACAACCAACATTAGCATACAGTCAGCGTGGCCGATACGTATACTATGTAAAAATTTGAAAACTACTTCGCACTACCGGAAGCTAGCGCTGACACTCCAAAGAAATTCAATATCACATCCAAACCACTGAAAATCGAGATTTCGCTTGACTTCCATGTTGAAGAGGACATTATGGCCGACTTTTATTTTGGAATGCATAGTAGTCTTTTGGCGTCCGCCAAAAAAATTACTTTTAGGTACAAAAGGCTTTACATGAGACCTGCAATTCAGAAATGCGGGCCAAACGTTACTCTGTTCAACAATCGAAAAAGAAATCTATTAACCCTTTTCTATCATGAGAAAAATTGACCGTACATTTTTTTCCGGTATCATACGGCCATCCACAATAACTATTAATCATTTGGAAAAGAATGATATAAGTCCGTTGCTCTTACTTACATTATTTATGTTTAGATGTAACGTTTTTGAGATAATCTGCTGATGGTGGTGATTATGTTGTTCATGTCTTAAACACCAACTGGTAGTTTTAACTTTTTGTTTTTTTATATAATTTTGTACTAGGTTTTCTACTCTACGTCTTGCATCCCAGTCAAATATCGTTTGTTTAGTTTCATTTTGTCCATTACAAGATAATAAATAAAGTGGATTATAAGGTAAACCATCAGATACGATATAACAACAGCGTCTATACTCATGACTTTTGCCATAAACGTATATTTGACCAAGATGTACGCGTATACTATTAACAACTCGCACCTCTGTTGAACACAGCTCAGATATATATTTTAATTCAATGCTATCACCACAGAATAATGACTGGCACAAACGATTTGCATATGCTATATTATCTTTTGCCCATAACTGAATATCTTCTTTTATTGTCAAAATATTTGTATTTCGAATTTCTTGTGCTATATTATTACGAATTTTTGCATTCCATTTTTGACGTTCCAACAGAGATGATTTTTCGTATGCATTTGGATTTAAAATAAATTGTATTGATGAAAACAAATATGAATGATCATCAATGACTTTAAAACGTACAATTTCTTATATACCATTCATTTTTCGAAACAAATTTGATCAATAGTTGTTTATGACTCAAAGGAATTTTGTAAAATATAGCAGGTTTACTTCTTAATCAAGCAAAAACAATACACTGAGCGAGTTTTTTCAGTTGAATTTTTTCTAAAATAAATAGATTAAACGTAACCATAGTGTCGGTAAGAGAGAACAGAAACAAATTACGTTCGTAAAAAAAATAGGTTTGTTTTGTCGTGATCGAATGAATCAAGGAAAAGAACAAAAATGAATAGTGTTGATTTAAAAAGCCTTACATCAACTAATCAAAACAAAAGTTTCTGTAGAAATTACGACTAATAAATGATAGCCTAATGTCATAAAAAACATCCTTTGGTTATGAGAGTAAGGGTGGATATTATGGAAATTACTTTTGCTTGTCTCTCTAAATTATCCGTCTTTACACACGTGCACTGATGGTTCCTAACAAAAGAAAAAAGGAAACGAAAAGTCATTGCCTACAACAATGTATGTGCCTTTGTCTAGACATGACTTTTCCTTTCCTTTTGTCAGGAGCCACCAGTGCACAGTGGCAATTTTGAATAGGCACGTAGACATGTGCCATAAATGTAATACGAAAGCCTCTGAACACTATTTTTATAGGTTTTCGTGTGCGCTCTTTCCAATAGTGTAATTTAAAAAGTTCAAAAACACTTTTAATCGGATTTTCCAGAGACCGAATCTTTGATAAAAACCTCTTTGAACTTGTAAATCACACCATTGAATAGAAAGCATGCGGAAACCTATACAAATAGTGTTTAGAGGCTTTCGTACCACTTTCATGTCCATGTGCCTAGCCAAAATTGCCGCGAGGATGCTGTAAATCTGTCATTTCATTATATCGAACGACTTTTTGTGCATAAAAACATACAACTGACATATCATTTGATGCAGTTCAATGCGTTGATTCTAAATACATCATTAGCTTTTCATGAAAGTGTTTCTGGTAGTAAGAAAAATGAAGTTTACCTGAAAATCTAAGGTTTTTTTGCAAAACCTATAAGTAATAGACTTCCCACCGTTTCTAGTCACAACCGAAGCAGTGTTAGCAGGAGAAAAACTTATGATAGCATGTTATACTCACGGTCGTTCCGCAAGTTGCGTTGCATTTTCCGGAAGACAAATGTACATTTCTCTTGACGAACTACGTTCTTTACCTTTGAAGTAACAATAAAAAAACAACATAGTAAAGACATTGTGTCAAACTTGCCGCCAGCTTCGGATGCATTTTATCAACCTTATTTGATAGAGATTATGCAAACCACGTCTGGCAGCAGTTGTTAGAACAATTCATCGAATATCCGGTATCCACAGACAATGGCCTCCAGTCGAGCAGGAACAGCTTAAAAATAAAACGGATATCAAAACCGACAATACTAAATGGTAAAGGTCTTGATATACGCTTTGTTTGGCCAGAATAAAAAAAGAATATTCCATTATAGTACTCTAAACTAAAACTATCGAAGAACACAAAATCAATTTTGTACGAATAGAGATTCAAACATGTGAAGTTTTAACGCTGAAGTACAACAATCGACTAGATGTTATCAGTAGTCGTTTTTTTTGGTATGTTTCTTGTGTTCTGTTTTTGATATAAGTTAAATAGAAGTCTTTCGGCATGCAGTAGGTGTTCAACAGACTGTAAATATTGGGGATAGAGGATAGTTGATTGTATATGTATCCACCCAAACTGGCTCGGGGTACTATCAGTCGGAAGCAAAACAGCTTTTTTTGAAAGTTTTAAGAGAAAGAAACAAAAAGAAGAAAAAAGTATAATGACTCGAGCGGGAATCAAACCCACGCCGCAAGAATTTCTTTCTTTCTGCTCTTCCCATTGAGCGAATAAATATATACTTTTCTGTCATCCTTTTTTTACTATATTTGAGATGATGAGAAATGAATTTTTCATTGACTTTTTGTAAGGATCTTCCAGAAACATATGCAAAATTACCTAAACTATAAACTCGAATTTTGCATTCTCATGACGATAACTGAAAGAAATTTAATCTTTTTAAATGTCTTTTTGCCTCAAAAAGAAACTGTGCAAGTGAATGGATACTCGAAACAGTGTGATTAATTATCTATCACATGCTAGTTAGTAGATAATGAAACGGGCATTAAATGGCGTTTTTTAGACAATTGATACTGTCTGTCTTTTGACCATTTTTACATATTATAAATAGGAACGTTTTCACTTCTAAAACTGTCATTTTTTAACCAACTGAAAATAGGCAGTTAATAGCATCATGCAATGACCGCTTTTGCATCATTAGTGGTTATCAACAGTCAATTGTTTGAGTGTTTTCTTTGATTAATGTTTTTTATTAATACCTCAAGTATAGTGATTTCAAAGATGTTTAATATTTTTGGTTCTTTGGTGCATCGCTGACATCAGAACACACCTAGTAATGATGTCGATAAAATAAAGAGTTTAAAATAACTGTCGCTAGCGACCGACCTCAATGCTGTACCTCTACT